CCGGGTCGTTGCAGCCCGGCCAAGAGGAGACCCAGTTCCCGTTTTGAAGTCAGCGTGAAAAGCGCTTAATCCGGGCGAGGTCGAGTTGGAGCGGGAGGAGGGGGGTGCGTGCCCTCCTTCCCACTCGGGGTGGGCCCCGGCCTGACAGCATGGCACAAGCCCATCGAGGGGGGAACGCTCACCCTAAACTTCACGCTTCCCCGCGGCCCTCCTGGGCTCCCCGTGAATAAAGCTCTGGGGAGTCGCTCCTTCTCCACCAGCTGCTCAGACGGAGGCAGGGCCGTAGTGGAGGCCTTGGGCGGCCAGGGGGCAGTTTGGAGAAGATGAGAGGCGGGCACGGAACAGCTCCGCCAGGAGACCCACCTGGGGCGGGTCCCGTGTTCCATCCTGAGGGGTCCCTTCGTTGGGCGCAGGCCTTGGCCGTCCCGCGGCCCTTAATTTTGGGTGGAAGTTTTCTACCCAGAAGTTCTTAACTGGGCCTCCTCCCGTGTGTTAACTGGTTTGTGTCTGCAGAGTTAGTGGAGGGGGTGGGGAGTGGTATTGTGTGTCAGTGGGCAAACTGCCGGCTGGAGGGCAGGAAGCTAGTAAGTGCAGGACTCTCCCTCGTCCCTCCTCTCGTGTCCCCTCCCCCCGCTGAGGACGAAGTAGAAAGTTTTCTTTTCACCCTGCACTGTCGGTTTTCTCCTTGACTCTTTCTTTAAAATGGGGGTTCTTTTCCGGGGTCCATGCAGTGGCCTGGGGAGATCCTGAAATCCACACAAAATCGTCTGGGTGGCGCGTCTCCTGGGGGAGCAGTTGGCTTTCAGGGGGGTCAGGAAAATGCCTGAACTCCTGCAGGGATCAGTCCCCAGGCGTTAGGGACCTCTGGCCCTCCCGGCCCTCCCTCCCGCAGCCCTAGTGCGGCCTCTCACTTGCAAATAAAGCTCTGTGTTTGCCCTTGTCTGTCTTGAGGCCTTGATGTGAGCTGGTGGTTACAGATCAGGAGAGATAGGGCACACGGCGTTGCAGGTCTGGAGGCGATGCTGGGCGGCTTGGGGCATTTCTCCCTGACCTTTCTGGTAACCTCGGGGGGCCCAGGGAGCTTGGAATCCTGCCGCAGCAGCTCCTCGGAAGCTCGGGTCCAGTCCCAGCCCCCTGTAGAGCGTCGATTTTTGTTTTGTTTTTAGAAAGTGGAGAAGTTGCTTTTTCACAACAGCAGCAGCTCACGCGTGTTTCGGAAGTGAGCTATGAATACGAGGGGATTTGTAAACACTCTGCTCCGCCTGGCTGGCCCAGCAGAGTGGTTCTGGGCAGAAAGTGAAAGTAGGGGGGCGGTGAACAAAGTGAAGCGACTGGCTCCCGCTGCAGCCCGCCCGCCGCCGCTCCTGCGCCCTCTTCCTCCAGGCTGGCGAGGTGCCAGCCGCCCGAGCCCTGTGCCCGGCAAGCGGTGAGGTGCACGGCCATTTCCTGCTTCTCTGGGCAGAGCCTTCCCCGGGGAGTGCTGGCCGCGGCTCTGAGTAGAGTGGTTGGTGCAGGACTGATGGGACGCCGCCGCGGGGCTGGCCCGGTGTCTGCCTGGTTTCCATCCACCGCTGGTGGGCCCTGTTCTTGGGAGAGCTCCGGGGGGAGCTGGGCTGGATCAGGAGCAGGGTGGCCCAGACCCAGAGCCCACCCTCCCCCAGCGAGCGGCTGCAGCTGGGCACTTGCCTGAATCCGCTATGCAAGTCACTTGATTTTCGGGGCAGTTCGGTGATTGGCTCGGTAGTCCTGGTTGGAGAGTAGCCTGGTCCTCCTCCTCTGTCTCCCCAGCTGATGGGCCAGCTGTAAAGTGCTGGGACACCCAGGGAGGCCCCTTGTACCTTGTGTCCACAGGCAGGTGTCCAGTTGGAGCATCCTTGCTTCCAGAGGAAGCTTGGCTGAATCGTGGCAGGAAGCAGCCTGCCTACTGCATGCAGCCTTCTGGGAACTTGGCAGGGGAGCCCCAGCGGCTGAGGGCTGCTTGGGAGCCCGCCCGCCCTCCCTCCCATGGCTCTGCCCCTTGTTTCAATGGAGGAGGTCAGCAGGTGCCAAGGCAGCGCTGGACGGCCTGGCGCGCTTGGGTCAGGGCTGCTGGTGGGTGTCCAGGTGCTGAGTGCTTTGTTGAGCCTTCTCAGCACCCGCTTGTGGCGAAGCCCTTGGCGCCTGCACCTTTGCTCTGGGTGCCTGTGCCCCTGCACCTGAGCAGCTCGGGGCTCTTAAAGGCAAAGCGCCACCTTTCGGGGGCCCCTCTCAACGTGCGTTCATCACAGAGATGGTGGGAGCAGGCGTTTCTCTCTTCGCCAGGGTTTACATGGCCCACAGGAGAATCGGCTCGCAGCCTCCCTCCTCTCGAGGGCCTTCATAGCCTCGAGTTGCAGAGATGCACCTGGGAGCAAGCCCCCCCACCGTGGCACCGGGAAAGCTCACCCAGGGTGATGAGGCACCTGGGTGGGTGCTTTTCCAGCCCCTGGGGAGCACCACGCGGCTGCGATGGCGCTGCCGGTGGCCCAGTGGGGTTCTTCTGCGAGTGTCAGAAGCTGGGCTTGATGGCCCGTGTGGAGGTGTTTCCGCAGTGTTGTTTAGAAGGGGTGTGGACACCTGTGTCAGGGGCCAAGCTGTCCTGAGGAGCTGGGGCTCGGGAGTCCCCCCCAAGGTCCCCAGGACTGGAGCCTCGGGACTCAGAAGTGGGAGAGTCCCCACCTTCTGTCCGGCCGAGTGCGGCACCTGCCCCTCACGTGGTGCCTGCTGTCCCCCTGGTGGTCCCCGCTGTCCCCCTGGCGGTCCCCGCATCTGTGGTGCCATGCAGCCAGACCCAGTGATGGCGTTACCAGGAGGAAGAAGAACTTGAGGGAACCCTGGCCTGGCAGTGTCTCGGAGGTGAAATGTGGGTGCGAAGGGAAAGAAAGGGCAGGGAGGGGGTGCCGCCCAGCCCCTGGCCTGCTTATGCCATCAGGCAGAGCCCTCCTGGTGCCAGCCTGGTGCCAGCAGCTGCACGTTAGAACTCGGGCTGTGCTGGCTGTGTGCGCCAGATAAGGTACACCCCACTCTGTGCTCTGATGTCTTAGCTGCCACCAGGCGGTCCCTGCCGGACTGCTGTGGGTCTCGGGTGGGGAGACACAGATGACTGTGTGACCATCACCTGGGGTGACAGGGTCCCCCGCAGGCTGGGAGAGGCAGCAGGAGCACTGGGTAAGCGTGCAGGCACTTGGGCTGTGGTGCCCGGCGTCCAGGAGACAGCTTATCCTGGGAGTGGGCGGCAGGGCAGGGCCGCCAGGGTCGCTCCCTGTGCCCAGAGCATGTGCCCGTCCCTCTCCAGGACTTCCAGGCTCTTCACTGCCTTCCCATGGGAGCACCTGCTGTTCTGGAAGGGCGTGGGCACCTGGGGACATGTTTGCATTGGGCGGTAGGACATGAGAGCCCAGCACGGACCCTGGTTCACCAAGGCTGGACTGTCCTCGGGCCCACTCCGGGCTGGTGCCAGCTGGCCACCCCTGGTCCTTGGCATCAGGACTGGGCAGTGGTCAGGGCTTCCTGCCTACCCCCAGGCCTATAGGCTCTGTGGCCACCCAGCTCCTCTCAGCCTCATTTCCCAGCTGTCAGGCGGGGTGAGGGGGGCACTGCTCTGTTTGCGGGCTGCTGCTTGGGGTCTGAGGTGGAGGCCTGGCTGGAGGAGAGGGCCTGGTCAGGCCGGGATGCAGCGACAGCGAGGTGCTTTCTGCTCGGGGTTTCGGGTCCGCTAACACGCAGGGATCGGACATCGAGTGGAGGGTGTTCTGTTGGGATGAGCGGATACGGCGGTGTGGGCTGGGCCTGGTGCAGGTTTGGGCCCCACTGAGCGGGGTGTGGTGGGCGCGTGCTGGGCCCCTGGTCTTTTTGACAAGGGGCTGGTCAGTTGCTCTGGTGGTCCCCGCCCCTACCCTCTGCAATCCCCAGGAGACGGATTTGGAGAGGAAAGGTGAGGGTGTGCTGAGTGGATGTGGGGTGGGGTGGGCCGGGCCCCGTCGTGTGCAGCAGTGACCTTCATCCCATCCATGCATCTGTCAGGCGGGGCCCTCCTGGCCCAGGTACTGGTGGTTTGTAAGGTGGCGCACATTGAGGACGTGGGTTTGGATCTCATCGGCCGGCTGTCTTAGGAGAGAGGCTGGCGGGCTCTTTTCTCCCTCCCTGCGATTGAACTGGCCAGTGCCTGTGGGTGGCACCCGGCCCTGGGCAGAGCCCCCCGCAGTGCGGTGCTTGCAGCCCAGCCCCCTGCAGGTGCAGCTGACCACCTGGCCTCAAGTATCCTCTGTGGGACCGACTGACCCAGAGAGGATGGTCCCCCTCTTCCCGCTCCAGGCCGCACCATCTTCACTCACTGTGTCCCCTGAGAACATTCCCCATCGAGTGGTGGGTCCCTTGTCCCCTTCCCAGCCCTATGGAAGGGGTCATCGAGGGCAGTGGGTGGGTGGCCTGTCCTCAGGGAGGTGCCCTGCAGGGTGCCCATTGGGATCCTGGGGGTCCCCAGGGGAACAACGCCAGGTCCTGGCTGCCAGGTGTTTGGGCTAGAACCCAGCGTTTCTGAGAGAGAGAGAGTGTTTGCGCGTCTCCCTGGAAGCCCTGTGGGGCTTTACATCCCTCAACGTGCGTGTTGGTTGTAGTGTTTCTTCGTGTTCTTTCTGTTGGCTTTTCTCGGGAGTGGTTTGGTTGAAAGGTGGTTGGGGTCAGAGCCTCGGGGGTGAGGCTGGCTGGCCTGACTCCCGCAAGGAGCAGGGAGCCCCAGTTGGCAAGGTGGTGGCGACCCCTGGGGCCGGTGTCTCGGGTCCATGGTGAGACAAGGGTTCCAGAGGAAAGGAAACCTTCTGAGGTGGCTTCCTCCAGGCAGGCTAGGGGGCTGGGGGGAAGCATAAGACTTCGGGGAAAACTGATTGACAGGGCACGAGGAGCTGGGGTGCTGAGGTGCCAGGGTGCAGCGCCAGAGGACATGGGGGGCATCTGGGAGGGGACCGTGGCTGCAGGCCCATCAGCAGACACAGAGACAGACCTGGAGGTGCCCCGGACTCTGACAGGCCTGGGCCTGTTGGGGTCCACTGCTGCTGGAGAGTAGGGGCGATCTAGGCCTGCAGTGGGCTCGGGGCCCTGGTCCGGGCCGCGTTCTCCGGGCAGAGGCCCTTCATATGGCAGCCTGGTGGCACTGCACCCTGCCTGGGCACGGTGTGTGGTGTGCACAGCCCAGAGTGTGTGCGGAGGCCCCTGCTGGCCCACCTGACCTCCCCTGGGCCTCCCTGGGGTCCCTGCTCCGGCCCCGAGGGAGGAGGCAGTTGGCCTCGCCTGTCACTCAGGCTGACCCTGCCTGCCCGCCCGGATCTGGTTTCCTGACGCCTGGCGCCCGCGGGCAGAGGAGCTGGGGCAGTGGGCCTGGCCCCTTCCTGCGGCTGACCGCTCCCTTTTCTGCTGGATTATTGCAAGGGTTCTGGGAGGTGGTGGAGGATCTGGGGGTCTGGTGGACGGCCTTGTTCATGGCCTGGCTCTGCCTCTTTCTGATGGGGTGACCTTGTGCCCCTTCACCCCTGAGCCTCTGTTCTCACCTGGAAAGTGGAGCCCACGTGACCCCCATCAACGCCAGGATGGGGCACATGGTCATGGGGCCATGTAGCATTGGGGGTCCCCCAGGGGCACAGAGAGAGTCAGCCCACCTCCACTCGCCTCCGGGATGCCAAAGTTTTGTCCTTGTTGCCGGCGGGGCGGGACTGGTGGATCTGAGCAGGGCAGGAGGGGTCCCTGCCCCCGACCCCAGGCCCTGCGCTAAGGTGAGGGAGTTGCTCCCTGGCTTTTTTCCTGCCTCTCGTCGCCCTGCTCAATGTCAGTGTCCCACGCAAAACTCCCCTCCTCCCTGGAGGTGCCTCAGGAGTCCCTCCTTCAGGCCTGACGCCCTCCACCCCAGGAGCCTCCAGGGGACCCCCTGCCCCTCCATCTGCCTCCTCCTCTGACCCCAGCCCACTGTCCGGCCTCATCCTCCCCCATGGCCGTGGTGCTGCCCCCGATGCTGGTGAGGGGGCGTCCGCCTGCCCCTCTGTCCAGCACCCCCGACGCCCCTCGAGGTGCGGGATCCGGGCTGCCCAGGAGCGCCCAGCTCTGCCTGCCGAGGTCCTGCCAGTGGCCCGGCGCTGTGGCAGCAGGGCCGGAGCCGCCTCTGCTGGTTGCTGGATGTTTTTCCACAGCGGCCCCTGGACACAGGTCCCCACACTCTCCTTGTTTGTCCAGGACCCTGAATAGCCCTGGCCTTGAGTGTCTTCTGACATATCCCTCTGCTTTAAGTGAGCCTACAGGGGCAGATCTCTGTGTTTTACTTAGGATTCCAGTTCCCCGGGAGAGAGGAGGCTGGGCCCAGCCGGGAGGTGGCCCGCGGCCTCCAGGCCCACCCCACCCCAGAGCCGGGGGCACTTGGGCCCCCTCACCCGGTCTGCGGTCACTGGCCAGGTGTGTCCGGCACGGTCCCTCATGGAGGGGTGTGTGTGACCCTGGAGGGTGGGTGACTGGTCAGTGTGCCCCCCCCCGGCTGGCTGGTTGGTGTCCAGGCCTTTCCTCAGGACCCTGCCAGAACACCCGTCTCTGGTCTGTCCTTGGTGTGCGGGGCTTTTGTGGCTCGTCTGAGAGTTTCCGCTCTGGGCGGTTTCAGATCCTCTGGCTTCAAGGGAAGGTTGTTCCTTCACTTTGACCTTCACCCAGATTCCCGGGCAGCCCCTCCGCCAGGGGGGAGGTCCTCTGAGCCTCACTCAGTCTCCCCTCTGCGTAGCCAGGTCCCATCCCTGCCCTGCTGTGCCAGTGCAGAGTGGACGCCCCATGAAGGCTGCGCCCGGGCGCCCTGCCCTGCGGCCAGGCGGGCATCCCGGTGGCGGAGGGCTGCCGGCGCGGGGGCGTGTGGTCTGTGCCGTGAGGAGCCTTTGCAGCAACGTGGCTGCCAGCTGGGGGAGCAGGGCCTCAAGGCTCCTTCACGGCGGGCGTAAAACTCCTGTTTTACGTGTGCTTACAGAGCCCACGTTCGAGAAGGCTGGTTTCCAGCCCGGCCGCTGATGAGTGGGCCTGGTGGGCTCTGATCCCAGCGAGATCGAGCTGCACGGTTTGCTGCTGGGTGCTCACCCCCAGGAGGTGAGACACCCCCTGAGCCCGTGGGGGCGGGTGGGGGTGATGGGGACACCTGACAACTGACATATTTGATGTCTCAGGTCTCACCTTAGGGCACTGGGGTCTGTTAGGCCCCTGTGCTTCGCCACTTGGATCTCCCAGTCCCTGTTGATTTGCCTGAGTGCATCTCAGCCGGGGTCCTCGTGCCCTGCCAGGCAAGGGGGGAGAAGGGTCACATCCCCCAGGTCTCACAGTTGCTGTCTGGGTGGTGGACGCAGGGTCCTGACCACCTAGGGAAATGGGGGGTCACCCATTTCTTCTTGGTGGGTTGGGGGCTTTCCAGGGTGACCAGGAGAAGCCCCCTGGTTGGTCCTCCAGACCACCACTCATTTCATCTCCCCATCCCCCATTATCACAGCGAATTCCAGACCTATGTCCTTCATAAGGCTTTCAGTGCGCATCTCTGAAAGATGAAGCCTCTAAACGAATTACAGCCACAGAACCACTGTCACCCCTGAAGGTTTACCGTGGAGCCCAAAGGATCATCAGATGGGCAGTGGGAAAGTAGGCGCCCCTCGACTCACTGCTTCACAGGCGCTTCTGGCAAACTGGCCCAGGGCGCAGGCACTGGGGTCGCGCCCGCTGCCTCGCCGGACCCTGAGGGGGAGCCGGCCCCGGCCAAGCGGGGGCCGCGCGAGGGGTCCTCACTGGCTGGAGCAGCCAGCTCCAGCAATGGGCCGCCTTCCTCTGTTCCAGCTGCGACCCCAGAAAACTCTTGGGGGCGGTGAGCTTTTTCCCTCATTCTTTTACAGCAAAAGCTGACCCCTTGTAGCCAATGAAAGGCCATCAGTGGTCCTTGTTTATCCCCAGAGTGAATGTTCGTATTTATTCGGAGGGTTATCTCAGACCCTGGGAGCCAGCGGTGTCTGTAGGAGACCCCCACCCTGTGGGATGGACCCCCATCAGGACGTGCCCGGGAGAGCTTGGGGGAGTGGCAGGGTGGTCAGGCTCTGACCTGTGTGGTGAGGCCGCGGCCGCGAGCCAGGTGGCGGTGGTCACTTCCGGCCCTTTCGTGGTGGGCGTGGCCTGCTTGTGTCCCGAGAGGGCCGGGTGCTGGAGTGAGGGGAGGTCGGGGCCCCCCGGGCTCACTGGCTGTCCCGGGAGTGTGGGTGCCCGGGGGCCTTGCGTGGTGAGCGCCCTGCACGGGGTGTGCCACTGGCAGCTCGGAGTGCCTGGGCCACAGTTTCCCCATCTGTGACCAGCACCTGGATGTGCCCACCTTGGGCTCCCGCTGGGCCTTCTTTGCTCCTTCTGTGGCCCCTCCTGGTGTCCCATCCAGCCACGATGGTGTAGACCACAGGGACAGGCCAAACTCTGAATTTGCCTAGTTTCCCTCAGTCTGGGGGCCTGGAGGCCCTCCACTGGGATCCCCTGGAGGAGGAGGGCCTGCCAGTGGACACAGGAGCGGCTGAGCCAGCCCCCACGGGACTTCTTTGTTTCTTCTTTGGGTCCCCAGCCAGTGAGGCCAGGTGGGCTGGGCAGCCACGTCTCTGTCCTGGGTGGGGCCTGGTGTGGCCGAGGGGAGGGGCTGGGGCATCCCTGTTCCCATGTGGAGCCCAGGCCTGCCGCGCCGAGGAGGTCACGTGAGGGACCAGTGCCCACCGGGAGGGCAGGGGGAGGGCTGGGGGAGGAGCGGGAGCATTCCTCTGTGGAAGACCAGCTGTCTCTGCACCTTTGTGGCCTCCCTCCCGGCTCCAGCCAGGGCTGCTCGGGCGACCCATGGTTCCCTGCTGGGACCACGCAGAGTTGGGAGGAGAGTGAGGGGCCGGTCCTGGTCCGTGGGGCCGGGCAGCCGAGAGCAGGGGGAAGGCTGTGTTTGCTTTGGGCAGACGTGCTGTAAATGTCTCCAGGGGCTGGGTCCTTCTCCAGTGTGACCGCGTGTCTTCCGCGTGGCACGTGGAGGTGGGTGTACAGGGACCTGTGGGCTCTGTCCCTGCTCCTCTGCCGTGCTGTGGCCCCTCTCCAGGTGGCTTGGGAAGCTGGGCATCTCCTTTGCTTCCACCCAACGGGCCAGTGTCACGCAGCTCTCTAACCATTGTCCAGGGTGTCCCTGGACCCCATGTCCTTGTGGGCGGGAAACCGTGTCTCCATACGTGGGGCTGGATTGGGAGCACCAGACAGGTGCTGGCTGTGCCGGAGGTCAGCCAGCAGGGGCGATGAGACAGACCCAAGTGGGTGCTCCTTGCTGCCCTTTGGTGTGGCCCCCTGTGTGCACACCTCTGCACGTCTTTGGCCAGAAGTTAGAATCTGGCCAGGGGCTTGAGGGTGCTGCTGGCCCGGACCTGCCCCCAGGGCCCTCTGGGTGGCTTGGCCGCCGGTTGCTGGTTCCTTAGCTGCCCGGCTCCTCCTCTCCCCTGTGGTCACCCATGATGCCAGGAACCAGGTCAGGGAGGCACAAGTCCTGGGTTTATGTACCCGAAGCCCCACGTGGGCAGGCTCTGGACACACCCCAAGGGTGGAGGAGCCTCTGCTTTGTTATCCATTTGACGGGCCTGGTCACTAACCTCGTAGGACCATGTGGGGTCTCACCCTCGGCAGAGGTGAGGCCGTAGCTGACCAGCACCGTATTTCTTGGTGTTTCTCCGCTGCCTCACCCAGAAGGGCAGTCAGTGGGGTCCGGGCCAGGCGCGGGTGGGGCCGTGCTGAGAGCACTGGGGACCGTAAGCGCCCTGGGCACAGGTTGGGGGCGGCTGCCTGCAGTCTCCCCTGTGTGTTGCCATAAGCCCCCCATCGCTCTTCACCCCCCATCTGTTGCTGGTATTGGCTCATGGCCAAGTCCTGGCAGAGAGTCAGCGGGGGCTGGAAGCAGCCCGTGCCTTCCCGGTCTCAGATGTGGCCCTGACTGCTGCCCCGACCAGGGAGGCTGGGGGTGAGGGACAGCGCAGCTGCTCTGCGAGTCCCTGGCCGCCAGCAGGGAGCGTGGGCGTGCCCTTGGCCTGTGTCCTCGCCCCTGTGCCGCCCGGACAAGTGGGCGTCTGGGAGAAGCGGGCGTGGCCGACTGTGCCCTGGCTGGGGGCCCCGCTGAGGATGGGCTGCCTGCAGGGTCGTCACGGCCCCAGGATTTCCCTGGGCGGGGCACGCTGGGCTGCCTGGCCTGTCCCTGGGCCCTGGAGGAGGAGGAACGAGCTTGGACTGGTCTGAGTGTTCCTTCCAAAATAGAAATCTCTTCACGCTGTTTTTCCCCACTAAAGTATTATATTCTTAAAAAGAACCCCACCCATTTAGAGTCACAAGCAGAAGGGGAGCAGCGCCCTGGCGGCTCACGGTGGGCGGGGTCCCGGGCGCGGGC